ACCCCTGGCTTAGGTCATAAAAATATGCACACACTCTGGAAACAGAAGTGAAGCGCTGCCCCATTCACTCGTGATAAGGACAAGTCAACAGCGTTTTTCTAAGAGCATAAAATGTCGGGCTGTAGTGTGTTTGGATATCTGAATCGTTTCTCTAAAATGAGCAGCCTGAACTTTTACAGGATTCTTAAAGGAACACATCCTTTTTTTTTTTACCAAAATCAGAGGCGTCTGAGGCTGCATGCTATCAAACACATCTAAACTACATCTTTAGTAGGAATTCCAGGACTAACTTTGTGAAAAGTTTTCTTATTGGTTTCTTATGCATTTTAATACATTTGAGGTTACTAATGTTACTTCTGGTTAAGGCCTAAGTTCCACTTGACCTTTTTTTTTACTTTTATTATAAAGTAAAGCATTATAAATTGGCTTGCCAGAGTCCGCTTAAGGTCTGTTACAGAATGTCCAGAATGCAGCAGCTCGCATTATAATGGGGACAAGGGAATATGATCATAGTTCTCCTGTACTGGGTGATCTTCACCGGCTTCCTGTTGAGTTCACGATTGATTTAAGATAATGCTACTGGTCCTTAAAGATCAACTTCACAGAAAAAAACATTTTCTAATTATTATTTATGATTATAATCAGTCACTCTGAGTTTTTCATGCAGGCTGGACATGAGAATAGTCACCTACACCTATTCTCCACATTAGCTTCTGATAGAAAATAGATGATGAAACTCTAGGATTTAAAATGTATGGACATGCAGCTGATGAATCACCTATCATGTGATGATGTCATGCGAATACAGAAAATTTCAGTGAACTGTTTCCAAAGCCTTGCTGATTCTATTTTATGAAGAATAAAAACATTTCTATTTGTCAGTGAAACTAACCCGTATCCTTATTTAAAAGATAAACAACCCTTTTATGACTGACACTGCTGGTCCAAACCTACTGAGTACAACTGACAGGCACACCTGACAGCCAGTGCCCCAGAGCTGGAGTTAACAGACTGATGCAGAGTATTACTTTGACCAGAGGCTGGCCTGAATTAGAGCCGCTTGCCCCCCCTCTGTGGACCTCATACCTCGATCTAACACCTCAACTCATCGTTCTTCCGGTGATTTTTGACAATGATGAGTTAAGTTGCTCTTTAAAGAGGAGAGGCGGGGGTTCCACCTGTACAGCATTAAACCTCCCAGACGAGCCCTCACCTTAGCATGGCAGTAAAATCTTTATGGATATGTCCACAGAGCTTCAACATGAAACCCACACACAGGCTGCATCATCTGACACAGATACTGTAGCGTGTAACCAGTGTGTGTGTGTGTGTGTGTGTGTGTGTGTGTGTGTGTGTGTGTGTGTGTGTGTGTGTGTGAGTGTGTGTGTGTGTGTGTGTGTGTGTGTGTGTGTGTGTGTGTGTGTGTGTGTGTGTGTGTGTGTGTGTGTGTGTGTGTGTGTGTGTGTGTGTGTGTGTTGATGTGGTCAGCTTTATCTTCAAGCCTTAGATGACATTCAAGGCCCACATAGGTAGGTGTAACTGTTGGAGTAAAAGTGCATCCAGATGTGTGCTAATATGCGTGCAGAGGCTGAACAGTGACTGTCTCTAATCACAGAACCACCCCTGCCACACACACACACACACACACACACACACACACACACACACACACACACACACACACACACGCACGCACGCACGCACACACACACACACACACACACACACACACACACACACACACACACGACTGAAAACATGTACTGTCCTAAGAATCTCACCACGCTACCTCACAGTCAGACCCCAATTTAACTCAGTTGTGGACATACCCCACCCCCCCCACCCCCACCCCCATGTGCCCCATGGCTCCAGATAGCCATCTCCTCCCCTCACTGAGTTCCTGCTCAAGCTGTACCAGTTAGAATATATAACTGCCCTCCAGAGGAACAATTTCTTGTACTTAAGGAGGCTTTTGATGCTCCACATGAAACACATTTGCCCATGCTTTATGTTAGGTGCCCCCCCCCCCCCCCCCCCCCCCCCCATGTTGCCAGTGGGCACATTCACATTAGGATGCTTTGATTTTAACATGTTCAACTGAGATGGCATAGAAAGAACCTGTGTGTGCTCTGAGAAACCCTTCCACTTAGTTTTCTTAATGTAACACTTCATTTCCTCCTGCAAAATAAACAATGTTGCATTTATGCTGAAGAAAGAGGCTGAATACATGTCAACAATGTAAAAACTGTTTCTATTTTATTTGATACAATTGGATACATTAGTTAAATCTGTAACTTGATCAACAAAGCACCCTGTTCTCTGATTTGCAGAGACAAACACACTCACCATTTACATTTTAATTGCGGCTGATGCACAGCTGTAAAAACATAACACTTTCAGAAGAGACTGACTGACTAGAGTGTGCAGCATCTGTGTATGCCGACTGCCACGCCAAAGTTGCTGCTCTCTGATGTCTTGTCATTCTGGGATTTTAACCGGGTTTTTTTTTCTTCCTTTGCAGTCTCTCTGTGGCATTTTAATGTAGATAAACGGCCTCAAACTGGCAGGCTCTGCTCCACTACTGCTAACAGAGGAGTGAAGTCGTATTTTAATTCTTGTGAAACTGCAGGCAATCAGTCTGAATTATGAGAGTTTAATGTCTACTTTTGGTTATTAATCTTTATAAAAGCAGCTTTAGTTTGAAGCTGATACAGAAACTATTGCACCATTTATTGATGTCGATCTGTCTCTCTTAGTTCTGGTTTCAGTGTGATTACCTTTACGGTCAGCCTTGATCTCCACTTAACCTGAAAACCTCCAGCATTAAAAATGTTCTGGCTGATTGAATATTTGATTAGTTTATAACTTTCCTGCATGTAGGGAAGTCTCATTTTCAAAAACTGTCTAATGCATGACCCTGAAGGAGTCTTGTCATTGTCTTCAAAGAGTTCTCATTTGTTAATTGCAATCTAAGTTTTCAACTATCTTACTCCAAAAAACTTACTCCAGTTATTGTGTGTGTGTGTGTGTGTGTGTGTGTGTGTGTGTGTGTGTGTGTGTGTGTGTGTGTGTGTGTGTGTGTGTGTGTGTGTGTGTGTGTGTGTGTGTGTGTGTGTGTGGGTGTGTATGTGTGTGTGTGTGTGTGTGTGTGTGTGTGTGTGTATGTGTGTGTGTGTGTGTGTGTGTGTGTGTGTGTGTGTGTGTGTGTGTGTGTGTGTGTGTGTGTGTGTGTGTGTGTGTGTGATGCAGAAAGGGAATGTTAGCCATGCTCAGAGCTCTATAAATCAGTGCATCTCTTTTATCTGCAGGAATCTTTCACCTATTCTCTGAATGACGCCGGCTGGATCCCTAAGAGAAAGTAGCAGGCGGTCGCACCAACCCTCTCTGCAGTTTTGAGCTCTGGCTGCTGATGTTTCAACTGGCAGGTTGCGGCGGCCTCCTCGGGAACATCAAGTGCTTGTGAGCTCTGGGTTTTGTGCATGTGAACCTTCAATGATGTTTCACAATAGGCCAGCTGGGAAGGGTTTTGGATCCATGAGGAAGAAGAATGGGCCAAGGGAGAAAGTGGGCTGGAGGAGCTGAAGGAAACGGTAGTGGTATGAAAAGACCCAATTCTAATCTTTAAATTACAAATTCTATGTTCTCTTTTGTGTCTAGGTTAATTCTCACCAGTTTCAAAACTGGCTTTAGAAATAAGTTAATGTCCAATCTATTGAGATTATTACCCTCTTCTGACCTGGTGTCAGCTGTGATGATTTCACTTCTCCTGAGAACCTAAAAACGATGATCCAGCAAATAAATCTAACTACATAAATTTAGCTTTGTTTTTTCAGCAAAATTAACTTCAGTAATAAAAAAAACAGGAGTCATAAAGTCTTTGTTTTTTTTAATTATCTTAAATACATTACGAAACCATTCAAATACACACATAGTTACTCATCAATTCTTTATGTTGCAAACATTTTGCAACAATATTGAACTTTATAAAATCTTTTATATTGTTTTCTCTCATAAAAACCTCAATTCTGCTTTTGTTTTCACTTTTAACTGAATGCACGAGAGCAGTGTGAGGGCATGCAACTAAGCAGAACTGATGATGGCATGAACTATGGAGTGTTTACAAAATTTAAGCAGCATTCATTGTAGTGGTTTTAATGTTACAGAGCACTCTGTCGGATTACTGTGGAAGACTGACCCCTGCTGGATTTAACACGAGTTGAAACTTTAGTAATATTTTTTATTATTGTCAGGATGCAGTATTTTTCACCTGCATATTTATCTATTAAAACAATTCTTCTAGTGTTATTAAACGACAAACTTAAAACCCTAATGTGCTCATCAACCTTTGAATGAATTGTTTCTTATGCTGCGTCGTCTCCACTGTAATCTGTGATGTAATTGCTCAACTTTAATTCTGTCTTTTCCTTTTAGCTCAAAATTATAATTTGGTCTCTGTATATTTTTAATTTGTGTTCTCGTGTTTGTTGTTGTGCCATTTAATGCTAGTTTTAAAGCACATTGAATTGCTCCTGTGTTTGAAATGTACTATACAGATTAAACTGCCTTGCCTTGCCTTGCCTGCCTTTGGATTACTCATCCTTAATCTGAGTTTAGCGGTGAAATTAGCAAACACTGTAAGTAAGCAAACTAGTAACAAGCAATCAAAAATCCATCTGAATTAAATTTTTTGCTAACAATATTATCAAACTGCAGAATTTAAGAAGCCGTGTGTCCAGGAAAATGTCTTCTCTCATTTGTATTAATTTTAAAACATCAAAATTGTCCTGATTTTATGTCCACCTACTACTGGAAACCAGGGTATATGAAACGTACTGGTTACAATTGTGATTAACATTTAAAAAAAAGGACGAAAATTAGCTAAATTTTGTAGCTAAGCAGTAAAAAAAAAAAAGTCATTTAAATAATGTAATGCCACTCCAACACCATAGGTGGCAGTAGTGCTTTCTCACATAGTAGGTAATGTGAAAAAAGAGTAGACGAAGAAGAAAAGGTAGGTTTTTTTTTTCTTCTTTTATCTACCGGGGTGTGTTGTTGTTGACTGCTGTAGCAGGGTGAGGTGGATGTTCTGAATCGTATTGTTTTGTTAGATTAAGCGACTATTAAAATGAATGTAGTTTTCTGCAGAAAAAATGTCTGATATACCCTCTAATGTTTGTTAGTTGCTACGTTTAGCTAAAGTATAAAGGCACAAAAACCCTCTAGAAGCATGAGTGGTTATAACTGTGATTTTTCTCTCTTAAAAACTCACGAACGTAACGGTAACTTGTTGAATATCGTAATTTTTGTAAACAAAATGAAAACATTTACTAATTTGGTGACAACAAAATAGTACACATTTGATAGCTTAAAACATTATTTTGAAGGCGTCTTGGTAGAAAGCTGGTGATAATCATTTGTCAGTCTAACAAAGCCTCTATCACGTATGGATGAACTAAACTTTAGACTATAAGCTAAAGCTGACTATGATTAAATTATGTTTTTTGCAAATATCTGTTGAAAACAAAAGATACATGTAAACAGTACATGCTTAATGTCTGCAATACGTTACAGCTTTCAAACAGCACATTTCAGCAGTGATTATATAAAAAATAGTTTCAGTGACAAAAACTTTCATGTTTTCTATGAAACGTTTCGCCCTCATTAGTTTTGGTTTTCTAACGTGTTTTTGTGGATTTTTGATTCCATGTTTTTTATTGAACACAGTGATGGAACCTGTTGGAACATCTCACGGTGATCATGATGGAGCTGATGTGTCCTCGTGGGTGTCCGTGTGTCCCAGAGGTCTTTGGATGGTCCAGCAAAAACGTGAGCGGAGTGGTCAACAAGCTGCTTCCAGTACTGGAGATGCTACTTGTATGATGCTCAGTATATATGCATTTTTTTAAGAATATAACAGATTTAAACACAATTCTAGCTCAAATAATTAATTTCAGTCTTTTCAGCTTGTTTATCCAGTAACTGTCCAGGCTTGGGCTCTCTGTGCCGAGTCAGAGTGAAGATCCTGACTGATGATGAAAAGGGTCCAGAATCTGACAGAACAGATGAGAAGCTAGAAGATGCTGATGCTGCCAAATTGTCCGTCACACCATTTCTTAGGAGTCAAGACTCTGTTCTGCAGGTCCCAGTGGGCGACTGGCTAACCCTGAAACTCGGGGAGGGTTTGTGTGACATCACAGAAGCGTGCTTGGAAGGGATGAGAGCAGGACAGAAATGTGAGGTAAGGGCTGCATCAAAGTCTGTCACCTATTATATTGTTTTTTGACTTGATAAAATTTGGAATGAAGTGTCAATTCTGCTTTATTTTAAATAAAAGTCTAATTGTCTGTCTTTTATTATTCAGATTCTGCTCACTCCAGTTGGAAATGGACCCGAAACTGTTCACCAACCTGCAGATGAAAACCTTCCACTACGTGCAACTGTTGAACTCCAGTCTTTTACACCAGGAAAAGAGTCCTGGGAAATGTCTGCCAGTGAAAAACTGGAGTGGGTGAAGACACACAAGGAGAGAGGTGGAGTGAGATTCAGGAGCGGGGATGTGTGGGGAGCTTCAGACAGCTACAGTCGAGCCCTCAAACTCCTCATCCCTCTTTGTGGATGTCTAGAAACTAAAAGAGATGAGCTTCAAATCAGAGAGGAAGGAGAAACGCAACAGCTTCCTTCACCCAGCAAACTTAAAGTTATCAAAGCCGAGCTTCATTCAAACCTTTCTCTGTGCCAGCTGAAGCTGAACCAACCAGAACGGGCTAGAGCCAGTGCTGCTAAAGCCACTCAGCTGGAGCCCGGTACCTGTAAGGCCTGGTACCGACTGGGTCAGGCATGCCAGATCCTAAATGAACTGGAGGAGGCCAAGCAGGCGTTTAAAAAACTCTTGCAGCTACAACCAGATCTGCCTGCTGCTGTGAAGGCTCTTAAAGAGATAACGAGTAAAGAGAGAGAGAGAAACGCACAGCTGGGACACAGACTCAGTAAAATGTTTAGCTGAAGGTTCAGTGTTGGTAACGGAAGTGTTTTAGTCGCAAAATTTAAGTGCATTTACAAGTTTGTTGTATTTTTGAAGGAAATTAGTAATAGTGACTGTTTGAGTTGCAGTTTAAATGTGAAAAAAAAATAAATGTGAGCTGTTCAGTTTGTAGCCTTTTACCTAATTAAACATGTTTTGACAGATAACTCAGATTGCTGCCTTAATGGTGTCCACACACACTACAAACAGTTGGGTTATTTCTTCAACCAATTACTGGGTTATTCATGTTGGGTTGTTTTTCTGGGTTATAAATTCAAAGCTGTACCCGTGTATTGGGTTATAGGGTACTTGTTAACCAAATTTCTGGGTGTTTGGACTGTATTGTTAGTCTGTGAATAGGTTAACCCAATAATTGGGTAAGGTTCCCACTCCACTTCAGTGGGTGGCAGGAGTGCTCTTGGAAATTTGCTGGTCAATGAGAAAACCGGAAAACGAGGAAGCTTAGGCGGGGAACTAAAGTGAGCAAAGTCGTCAGAGTGCTTTTTCTCTTACTGTTTGTCCCTGTTTTCTTCACACTGGCGTTCCTTTCATTCGTCTGTGCCTGTGTGGTGGCCAACACTAGCTAAAATACGAGCTTAAACATTTGCCAACGAACCACTACTGACGTTCACTTGTCCACCATTAGTACACGAGGGTTGCTAACTTGCTAGCTTTCTAACGTATATTTATTCATAAACACAACAACCCCAAACTTGGGTTGATGAACTCAAATGGTTGGTTTATTTCAACCCTTGTATTGGGTTATCTGCTTATCCCAAAAAAAAAAACAATCCAAAATTTGGGTTGATGATAATAGCCCAAATTTTTGGGTGAAATTTACTCAGAAAAAAAGTTGGTCCCTCTTAACTCGTGACTTGGGATAAAAATAACCCAAGTTGGGTTGTTTGTGACCCATGGTTTATTTATTTTTATAAAAGAGCACTACTTTGGCAGTTTCTTTTTTCTCCAAAGGATTTTATAATGCACGTATGATTAGACAAGTGGAAAGAGACCGTTGTTGTTATTTTATAAACAAAAAATGGCCAAAACTAGAAAGCTAAATAAATTGGTGCCAATGTTCCTGCAATTTGGCAAATGCCAAAAGCTGCTGATTCCTTGTATCTCCACAAGATGTCACCAGATTCATTGAAGTGTTTCGCGGCGTCAAAATGCCGAAACCCGGGATCGAACCAGGGACCTTTAGATCTTCAGTCTAACGCTCTCCCAACTGAGCTATTTCGGCGCAGTGATGAACAACGCCGCACAGAACAGTTTACATAATTATATCAGCATGCAACAATGTTTCCATTCTATCTAAGTTTTGAATTCCCGCGGACAAACATTGAGTTCTAATTCTAGAATCCATAGCTTGTATGTGTGTTCAGCATTCCAGGAGATCGGGTAATAAACAAACAAAATACAATATTGTGAATGTTTATTTTCATAAAAAATCTTGCAGCAAAAATAAAACTTTATTTGCTTACATTTATTTGGCTATTCAAATATTTAGATTTGCCTTCCCTCTGCCTCCTGCTGATCACTTCCTTTTACTCTTTTGGGCCTTTGAGCTGTCAGCATGTCTCTGAGCTGCAGATAAGTGACCCCACGCATCCACAATTAGGGCCAGAGGAATGACGATCCACAACACGTTCATGAACACAAAGTAGAACCAGAAGTAGACTGGATGTCCCAGCTCGCTGTGAGCGTAGCCATCTCTGTGCTCTGTGAAGAAGTAAAGCACTGCTCCATACAGCTGACCTGGGGGATACGCAGATAGGATGAAGAAATACTCACCGAATGAATGGGTAGTTTAATAAACATCTCTTACCTAATGAGATGATGAGCTGCAGAACAAATCTGTAGGGTTTACTGGTTAAAAAGGAATACACCACCCAAAAGCTGAAGGGCCCCCATAAGCAAGCAGTCACAGTCTCCATACAAACTGTGAAGTTGTCAGCTCTAGATAATAAAAGGAAAAATAACCATTGTTTTTGGAACAATTTTATAATTTTAAACTGTCTTTATAAAGCAAGAAATGTACTCACATTACGTATCTACTGTCACCTTTGGAGTATTCTTTCCCTGAGACAGAAAATATGAAGCACAGTGACTCAAAACAGTTCACACATTTCTTTAAGCGCTGGTTGCTACTCACACAGCTGCGAAAGGAAGCTCTGATCTCCTGGCAAGATGTCATAATACAGCGAAAACCAGCCCTCAATGACACTATGGATGAAACCACAAACTGCAAACCAGCAGATGGACAGACGCCGCCACGTTCCCAGCCTGCCGCTGGCCCCGGTGATCAGCCAGGTCACCAGTAGAAACACCCCGGACACAGAAAAAAGAAAGGCCAGAATCTCTGACATTGATCTGTCGTTTTCCACATAAGTGGGAATCAAAAGATCCCTTGGCCAGTAAGGATGCAGAACTTTGTTTGCAGAAGACATCGTCTGTTTGAAGATAGAATGAACATACTGTCAATATCAAAAATCACATGTTACTCTGTCATGATCATAGATCATGACAGAGTAGATAGATGATAGATAGATAGATAGATAGATAGATAGATAGATAGATAGATAGATAGATAGATAGATAGATAGATAGATAGATAGATAGATAGATAGATAGATAGATAGATAGATAGATAGATAGATAGATAGATAGATAGATATTGAACTTACCAGAGATGATATTATTACCAGTTTATTCTACCTGTTTGAAATGTGCACTTTAGGGCATGTAAACTCAAACGCGGAACTCTGTCTGATCTGGGCGGGTCCTTGTGATTACACACACCAATGACATTGCTGCATGTGTAGAACTAGAGGCGCGCACGATGCGCCGACTCATTTGATTGGCGCTTCATCTCGGAACATGGACGTCGCTGTTGACAACTGCCAATGAGCGCCTCCGTACTCTCAAAGTCCCTCTCCTCTTTTTATGCAAAATCAGGGTTAAAGTCTAAATCCAGGTGGGTGGAATCGACAAAAACATGTAAATTTTCGTGTAACTTTTTTTGTAAACTTAAACATTTAGGCCACTTAATTTATTTCTGTTTCTGTAGCTCCGTCATTTTCCTACAAAGTGCAACTAGAATAAACAGAAGTAACCCTATAATTATCGTACGTTTGTAATAATGTTCAAAACTAAATTAAAGCTTTAGGATAAAAGCAAGACACGACATAAAGAGTTAAAATTGATACTCACTGACAACATGTTTAAAATAATTTTTAAAACGCAAACAACAACATATGCCGGTAGGAAAATGTATTAATGTTATTATCTGTACTGAGTGTAATTGACTAATTAAACTGTAAATAAGCAAAAATAAAAAGAAAATAAAGTAAAAGGTATCCACCCTTGCCGTGTCAGGGACAATCCCTGCCGTGACCCGGATTCGAACCGGGGTTGCTGCGGCCACAACGCAGAGTACTAACCACTATACGATCACGGCGAGCTACAGGGGGACATGTGTGAACACGTCAAAATACAGCTGTATGAATGTGAGCTAAAAGGTGAAGTACTGGCAAATATGTTTTACTGATAAGTATCTGTAATCATAATTTTTGTGAAAAATGAAACAGGATACATCAGGTTGTGCAAAAATGATTATTAAAAAAACTAATTAAAATAAAATGTATGGCTGGACAAAAGGATGGATAAAACGCTCAACTCGCCTTTCACAGAACAGGTACTGCCCAACAGGTACTGCCAGAGGCCCATTACACCTTTACACACATCCAACTCTATATGACAAGATAGGTCAGTGATCATAAACAGCACATTTATACATACATCCGTTCACCGGTTTAACAGTCCCATATGGTCTAGCGGTTAGGATTCCTGGTTTTCACCCAGGCGGCCCGGGTTCGACTCCCGGTATGGGAACAGCTTTTTTTCGTGCAAAGTATTTATTTGGCACTCCTACAATCCGATTCTTTTACGCATGTCTTTTTTTTTTTTATTATATTACCTTTACATTAACAATAAATACAACTTCTGTGTTTTCATCGTCAGCTAAAACCAGCACAGCTAAATTAAAACATCTAGTTGCAAAACTGTTTATTTACACAATAGGTACTTTTCATGACAACTCTTAGGAAAATAATACATATAAAGTAATAACCCTTTAAGGTTCATGACATGAAATTATAAACTTTTACACCCCCAGAGGATGTTAAAAATGTCACGTGACTGTGGGCGTCACGTGACGCTTTACGGAAGCTACATTTGTCTCAGACTTGTTTGCCGCTAACGCTAACGACCTTAAAAACTCCGCTTCTTACTTGTTTCAGAGACTCGACATGGGTGTATCTGGAAGAGAGCAGTCTTCTCCATCACTGGACGACAAACTGCTCCGTTTTATGGACCAGCTTGAGTTACTGGAGCAGAAAAGAACCTCTCTGAATTCTCTCATCGAGCAGGTAAAGATTATTCAGCTAGCTTCACATTTTAGAAAGGGATTAGGCATACTCGGATGTCTGTCCTCATTTGTTTACATTTTAAAAAATACATTATTTTGAACTTCGTGTTCAAATTAATGTATCAGTCATCATTCATTCAAAATGCCAAAACATTCATCTAGTTTATTACAAATATATGTCAACAGGAGAACATCGAGTAAAAATGGTAAACAAAATTATTTATATGGGGTAACGTTTATTGACATGTTTGCATTTCTGAAGCTAAAACCAAATGTTTAAATCACCCTTGAACTGGTTAGCTTGATTGTTTTTTTCTCCTACATCTAAATACTGTAACTGATTGTTTTAACTTTCTTTTCTCTACCTGTTTAACCATTTAGGGATGGTTCACCATGTCCAAAGCACGATATTCCATGGGAAATAAACAAGTCTCAGCACTTCAGTATGCAAATGAGATGGAGCCACTGGTTCATGTTCATGTTAGGTGAGGACTGCAAAATAAATGCTGTCAAAAAACCGTTGGACACTTCTTAATATTATTTTAAAACAATCCCTTACTGTGTGTTTAATAGAACCCTGGACAACGATGAGGTGGAATTTTGCATCGAAAGGTCTCCTCAAACCTGTGGTGAAGAGTCTGTAAAGGACCTGACGTCTGTAGAGGATATTGGACCTCGAGAAGAAGGTCAACAGAAAATTTTAATGGTAAAATGTGTCATCTACTTGTTTCTTATCAAATGATCATACTACATGTTTTTACAGGTGTAAGGCAAAGAAAAAAGACTGAAATCATCTCAGAAAAGAAGACAAGTGAGGATATAAGCGAGCAGAAAGCTCCTGCCTGGAGAAGAGACCACAATCCTCAGCAAGACCCCCTGAAGTGGTTTGGGATTTTGGTGCCGCAGCCTCTTAAACATGCACAGTCATCATTCATACAAGGTATGATGGTTAATTTCTAAAGTAAGTCAATACTATGCAAATGTTTTTAAGTACTTTGCATATGAAATCTGTTTTTTTTTAGATGTTCTTTTATGTTTGAATGGGATTTATAAGCATGAAGGTTGTTGCGTGCTTGTGAAAGCATTTGCTAAATGCTAATGAAAATTCTGTTTACTATTCTCTTATTGCAGTAATAGAGCTGTCTGCTGAGATTGCAGCTCTCCAGATTGCGGTTTTAAACACAAGAGAAGAGCTAAAGGACGGTTTAAAAAACAAAAAGGCCCCAGGAGAACAATTCAGAGACTCTGCTGATCACGGCAGTGAATCTAATACTTCTGCTGGATCTGAGCAAGAGGGCACCAAAGTTCCATCGTCAACAGGGAGCCAATAGATCAAAGGGTTTCACTGATGCATCAAATAATTTCTTGCTGTAATTAGAAGGGATAGTCACAGATGTAACATTATTACATCAAAGTTATTCACATGGAGTTGTACAGTTATTAACATGTATAAAACATTTCAATGTGGCTTGAAATATCCCCTTATGTTAACGTGTTTTTGTTTTGTTCAATGACTGGTCCAGCTTTAATAAGTGTTATTAAAATGGCTTTTGCTCAAATCTTCTACATCCTTTTTCACGCAGTGAGTAATTATGCAACGATGGCATTTCCCATATGTAATCAATTTAAACATGCACTAAAGGGTGTCATCAGTGCTTAATTTGAGCTGGATCTTGCCGGAGCAAGATCCGCGAACTGTCTTATTTTGAAAGGACCGTTCCAGCAACTGGCTGCTCGGATTCGGCAACTCTCGCAACCAACTTGTGCTATATGCAGGGTTGGAATTATGGGTGAGCTATTAGCTAAAGGGATCCCAGCTCACCCCAAAGGATGACGCTCCCCTGGAAGCCCTCAGTTGACACCCAGAGGGAGCCCAAAACGATCCTGGTTCTACTTATATTAAATTATCTATGTGGACTCTGGGGATTATTTTGACCTGAGAGGTGCAGAGCTCTGATCGTTATGCGCTCCAGACCATGGACGTAATTTTCACTTTAGAAGTGGGGGGACACGGGGGTGGGGGTATCTTTACAGTCTGTTCTAATGGGAAAGAGGCTTCAACACAAACGGTTGTTTTCTGCTTGGTCCTAGAGCTCAACCAGTGTTAATTTTATATAAAGTAATATTGTTTTTGGATGGTAAATAGTGCAGGGGTCAAAACTTGACTTTGGAAAAAGTGGGGGGGACATAATTATTTTAATGTTTCGATTAGCAGAAACTCTGAGTCTGCAGGAACACCAGAGTTTGAGGCCTTTGCGCAAGGAGAGGAGGGCTGAAGCAGGGGATCAGTAATGATGCAAAAACTACAGTTTTTGAAAGAAATGTGTGTTAATATGTGTGTTAAAATGTGGGCGCAATTTTTAATTGTCAAGAACTTACAACGTTTTCAGCCATTACCACATTGGGTCTTATGATATTTAATTAATTGGCATAATGCTTTTCAAAACGCTTCGTATTTTAACTTGAAAAGTTAAAATACTTCAAGCAAAATTTCAACTTTAATCCAAAATTTCCAGTTCATTAATAATCCAAAATTAATTTAAAGTAGTTTTTTTTTAAGAAAAAATACTTTTTTTATCTACCAGGACAAAAAATATATCCAGTCATTATTTTGAATATTTTCCCATCAGGAAAAAAAACAAAAAAAAAAAAAAAAAAAAACTCATCACTCCTTCCAGATCCGAACGGTACCGGGAAATGTCGAACTAGGAGCCGAAACTCCTGTTTATTGTACGCACTTCCTGGTTTGGTTTGGTTCTGATCCCGCCTCCGTGAAGCTCTCCGTGCTTCCTCCCGTCACTTGTGTCCGGACGGTGGATGAGGAGCGCAGGGAGCTCGAATGAATGTGCCCTGATTCCCCGATCATGCTTTCTACGTTTGCAGACACCTGCAGCTGCTTTTATAGATCCATCGTGGCGGATTTTGGATGCGCACGCGACGCGGATTCCTTAAAACCAATTTGCTGCTGTCGGTGGAGGTACATCCGATGTAAACACGCCGGCCTGCTCTCATGATCGGAGTCGAGGTGAGGCTGATTCGTCTGACTCCCCACGTTACTCCCCTCAGTCATCGCTACTTTCCAGACACCATACTGAAGCGGGGGAATCACCATCGGCTCCGATGGCGTCAGTTTCGAAGGTGTCTATTCTGGATTATTTTAATATTGTGTTTGAAGGTGAAAATGGTAAAATCGAGTCCAATTGCAAGGCTTGTGGAACCAGAATCCAGGCGAAACGGAGCGTTACATCCAACTTTGTTACTCATCTCAAGGTATTGTTTAAAAAATGTTTATTTGTTAATTAGAATAAAAAGATGATGCTCAGTGCTTGTCTGCATCAGCTGAAATGGCATTTCAGTATATTGCTGGATCAGCATTATGAACAGGCTGTTGCTTCTCTGCTAGGAGAGTTTAGTGTTCCCCAGAAAAATAAGATTTCTACTTTATTATTATGACCTTGTCCTGTTTCTACCTTTCCAGCGTAAGCACCCAACTATGTATGATGACTTTGTGAAAAGGAAGGATATGAAGAGAGAGGGTTATTCCTCTGGTTGCCTGCACGGTTTCACTACCAATGGAGGACCCCCCCGCTTGACTCTCCCTATAACATCTGGAGCAGGAGGTGGGGGATCTGCAGGAGGTGTTGGAGGAGTGGGGACTCTTGATGGGGGAGCAGGAGGAGGAGGCTCTGGAGCAGGGCTCACCAAGTTTGACAGACATGACCCCCGTCAGGTAGAGTTACAATCTATCTGTTGAGAAATGAGTTGCACAAAGCATAATGTGGGTTCTATTTTGCCACCAAAGGTTCTGATCTCTGAGGCGATAGCTAAGATGATCGTGCGTGATCTGCAGCCAGTTTCCATAGTGGAAAATCAAGGCTTCAGAGAGTTGCTCCAACTCTTGGAGCCACGTTACACTCCAGAGTCACAGCACTACATCCAGGGTCAGCTCCTTCCAGCTTACGCCTATCAGGCCCAGCTGGCCACCCGTCAGGCCTTGGCATCAGCACAAGCCCTCAGTCTCAGTTTGGATCTCTGGAGCAGCTTAACTCAACGCACTTCTGGGTAGGGAGGTGAAATGAAAAATAACCCACATACTTTCTAAAAAAATCCTCTCTCAGGAGCCCACTTGTGTCTTTCTTTACAGATACCTTGGTGTCACCTGCCACTATCTTGCATCTGATTGGCAGATGCGCTCCGCCCTGCTAGCATGCCTCCCTCTGACCGGCGGCAGCTCTGACAGCCGCGTGCTTGCAGATTTTGAAGAAGTATGTCAGTCTCACGGCGTGTCGGGAAGAGCGTTTTGTGTTGTTGCCGACCCTTTCCCAACAGCAGCAACAACAAGGCAGTGTTGTCTTCCTGGTTTCCTGGTTCCACCTGTGCCCACTAACGGCCAAGTTGGAGATACCACAGAGGTGGAGAACAATGGCAGTGTTGCAGACCAAGGATTCAGGAATGGCCACGGTGGTTGTGGGGAGGAAGGAGATTGGGAGGAGTCGTGGGAGCAGGGTTTGGGTGTTAGTCGGGTTGACTGTTTCTCACGCACTCTGGAACAGTGTGTCAGAGAGGGACTGCACTCCTGTCCTCAGATCTCCTCCTCGCTAGCCAAAGCTGCACGTTTCTATAACTACATTACCTCAGCTGTCCCTCCTGAGAAACTCGGCCAGGTGTTTGATGGGCTGATGACCAGAGGACCAGAGAATATTCCTGATGCCACAAAAGACTGGGCCACACAGCTCAAGGCAAGTAATACTCTTACAGTCTTGTGAAATAAAATGAATACTCCTTCTTTTATGGTAACATTTAACAATTATCTTGTTTTGATGAAGATACTTCGGCGTCTGCTGGACTCGGTGGAGTTCCTTGAAGAGATGAGCGGTCCAGGGGAGTTGGCGCTTGGTGGCACAGAGAGAGCCATGCTGAGGGAGCTCACAGACACTTTGGAGCCCTTCACAGAGGCCTGGGATATGGTCCATGGAGATAGACAAACAGACATTCAAGCAGACAGACATGTGTCCATCAGTTTGGCTTTGCCTTGTGTTCTTGGCCTTCGTAAGCATCTCTCAGAGACGCCAGGACCCCACTGCCCTGCCCTCCTACTAGGCCTGAGCCAGTCATTGGAGCGCCTACTGGTGCCTATCCTAGAAAACCCGCTTTACATCACTGCAACCACCCTGGATCCCCAGTTTAAGCTAACATGGAGCAGCAACCCAGACTGGCACAGACAAGTTCTTCTAGAGGAGCTATCCAAGCATTCCTCAGCCTCCTCCTCAGCAGATCACAACAAAGACTTTCCCCCTCAGTCCCAGACTCTTCCCGTCTTGGCACCTTCTCCAGTCTCCTCACTCTCCCGACCCTGCAAGTTGTTCTCGTTCATTAAGCAGAGACCTGCAACACAAGCTAAAAGCCTTGAACAGGAGTTGGCTGTCTACCTTCGAGAGGAACCCACAGATGAGGACGTGTTGCATTACTGGCGCCGTAAAGCTATCGATTTTCCACTGCTAGCCCAAGTGGCTAAACGAGCGTTCACCATACCTGCTTGTGGCACAGTGGTGGAAAGTATTTTCACTACAGCTGGACGCCTTTTGTTACCAGATAGAGGCCATGTCGTACCAAAGAACCTGGAGACACTCATCTACCTCAAAGCCAACTACAGATTATTATGGACTTAGAGCTACATGATTTAATCGTAACAACTGGAGGATTTTTCTTCTCCCCTTGACAAAAGGGACTTCTTGGATTTAAATCTTTGTTGCTCTCAAAGGAAACTTACCTAATTAAGAATGAGTGCTTATACTGCAGCTCTTTTATTATTATAGACTGCAAGAAACATCCCGTTTTTATTCTTTGAGATGAGTCTCAGGGTGGATTGCCTGCTCGCAGACTGTCACACCCACATGCTGTTGACTGAGGCAGCTGGAAGCAGATCAATACTAAAGCATTCACTCTGACATTGTTTAGCCTGTTCGGGGTCCCTGGACATCCACTATCTGTTTTCACAACACAGAAGACGGCTTCTGTCTGCAGTAGCAGCACCAGCAGTTAATGTGCACCGAAGCGTCTCATTTATTTCCACTCATGTACAATAACTCCACAGGCTGTCATTACTTTACTTAGTGTCGTTTTTCAAGAATGACATCAATTTCTGGACATTGTTTTCATGCATCATCCACTTATTGTTTCCCTCTGTGTATGCGTGATTCATCACAGGAGCTTCAAAATAAATGAGTTTCACTTTTAAACACACAGGTGTGTGTGGTTGGCATAGATGGGTGTACATGCTTATTAGCTGTAACACACTTTAAAAACAAGCCTAAAGAAATGCAGTCCACTCACCCCCTTCGTACCAGAGTTTGAAATTAAAATAGCCCTTTGTTGTGTGATTTGGCAAAATCTCACCAGATTGTTGAGGATGCAAGTATGTGCTCCGAAGCGTTATCCCCACTTCAAATTTGTTTTTCAGTTTATTTCAGATTGACTGAATTATCGCCATTTTTGTGTTCCGGTCTATTAGGTGTGGGGGGCCAACTAGACACGGTGGAGACCAACAGAGACGGTCAAAGATCTTGTATCATGTGCCTAGCGTGACTCTCAGCTATTAACACAACAAGTATTAGTTCAGTACTTACTAAATTGACCGAGTTGTGACCATCTTTGTGTTCCTAGGGTTAGGGTTAGGCCATGGCTGCCGTCTTCAATTGAGTTGATTCTAAAAGTGAATCAGTTGTACATCCAATCTGTTCATACTAGTAAGACCAAGTTCTATTTTTTTTAGATGAACTGTTTTTTTAATGTTCTAACTTTGAGGGATTGAAATGTCCTTGCCATTACACACGTTAACATCCCATTTTAGGACTGCTTCATCCAGCAGTGCATGCTTGTCTTTATGCAGAGCTTCTCTGTTAGGCAGGGATAGGCCAGTGAGGCAGTGTAATTGCAATAATTTAATTAAAATAAAATTTGAGTCAGCAGGCAGCTGTTACAGCCCACAGAGCTGCTTTTTTCTTCCCCCTCATCATCAAGCTCACACAGCTGCTCTGCTACAAGAGAGAAAACAGGGCTATTTTTACTAACACGAGGCAGCAAGTATACTGAAATGTGTAAGTTTGAAACAGTTTAGAGAACTTACTCAGTGTAGAAGCAGTTAACAGTTTTTGCTTAGAACCTATTCTCATAGCAAATGTATCTGTGGGAGACAAAACAACATAATAATGATCAAAGGTTGCTGTGATCCTAATGATTATCACCACAGGGTGTCCTGTGATTGTGTAAGTGTGTGTGTGTGTTCATCTGTGACACATGTGTCTTCTGCTCTCTCCCTGGGTGTGTAGTTGTTTGAACCCCACCCCCCCCACCCCCCACCCCCACCCACCCACTCGGCTGTGGCAGCTCATCCATTCGAGTTAGGGCGGGACGCGGTCCTATTGGTAATTTCCTCTGAAATGAATTACTTGGCAGAGAGTAAGACTGAGAGAAGGGAGGTAATTGTAATTGAACTGCCCTCCCCCTCTTCTCTCCTCCACATCCCTCCTGCCTCGAGTTATTATATCTGCAGTGCAGGGAGACATTTTTCATCTGCACACAAACACACACGCCCTCACCCAGCCAATCTTTCCCCAACCCCCACGCGTGGTGGCCTCAGCAGAGCGACGTATTGATGCAGGGCGATTTTAGAGATTGATCGCTCATGGGGGCATGCACACCAGGACATGCTGCACTCTTATTTATAAAACAGGGACTATTCCCCTCTTTGCAGTGCCCTTTAGATGGCCTGCCTGTAATGCGCTGCAGGAGTTTGGATCTGACTAAAGTAACAGTGGTGTTCAGTCTGAAAATAGCTCTGGTTACCCCCTTTATTAATAACTGCCTGCTGACAGATAGAACGCCTGATGGATTAAAGAGATTTGTGTGTTTGCTCTTTTTTGTTTTGGCAACTGTTGATATTAGTCGGATTGTTTTCCCTACTCTGCATGTGCACATTTCCTGCTTGCTGTACACCAACCAATGGTCTTTCAGCAGCCAAGGCATGGAAAACGGAGGAAGGGGGGTGAGTTAAATGAGCTGCCAACCCTCAGCACCCAGACAGACATGCACATGCTTCAGTCCTAACTCAGCACACACAATGGGATCTATTTCTGTAAATGCACTCAGGCTATCACCCCACTTACACCGACAACCCCCTCCTCACTGGCTGTCTATTTCTGCTTGCCCCTTCTCTTTTTCCCAACATGCTCAACTACTTTCTGCAACATCATGGCGGACAGAACCAGCAGGCTTGGGGTCAAGAGAAAAGAGAAAACAGTGGAAAACAGTGAGGAAAAGGAAACAGGAACAGAGAAAATTGTGAAGAAACCCGACAAAGGTGGGAAAAAGCAAGAGAAGGCCCCAGAAGTGTCGAAGGCAGATGAGAAGAAGAATGGTGAAAGTGGGGGGGCAACTGGCGCAGAGGCCAATAAAAGTGAGGATAATGGAGAGTATCAGGCCATAGAGCTCCCTCCTTTTGAGATTATCAAAGGGTGAGTCAACTACATTTTTATTGCTCAATGTAATTTTTAGTCAGAATTTCATGTTTATTAATTCTGTTCTTTTCCTTTAGCTCAATGGTAAGAATAGGTTGAGTCACACAGACGTCAGGCTCTACCGAGTATCTGTTCTCCAGTCTTTGTTCTGTTAGACCCTTTGATATCAAAGCTATAGATCTGTATCAATAACTGTCATCCTCATGTCCCAAAAGTGATTATTGAAGCAGGACAGCGGAGGGATCTCCAAAATGCTCACTGATCTGATACTGTGGATGATTGGGAAGCTTATTTTATTCTCAAAAACACCAAATTACGCACCTGCACTTTTATTTTCTAATGCATCATTATGATCAGATCCCAAATTAGAGGTTAAATCCATGCTAACGTGTAGATTATTTTGTGAATGCATTAAAAATAAGACATTTGTGTTTCTCCACCAGGGAACGGATGAGCCCCTTCTACTTCAAGTTTCAGTTCAGGAATGTGGAGTATTCGTCGGGGAGGAACAAAACACTGTTGTGTTTCAGAGTGGACACAGCAGGAGGTGACACAGAGCCTCTGAAAGGTTACATGGAGGATGAACACGCCACCGCCCACGCTGAGGAGGCCTTCTTTCAGCAGGTGATTCAAGCTTTTATATAACAAAAAAAAAGAAAGGAAATGGCTAAATGAAAACCATGTTTCATTCAGAAGCAGCCAAGAGAAAAGGTGACACAACCAGTTACAGGGACACAAAACAAACAACTTTATTTATTATAATAAGGCTTTTAGGTCTTGTTTGGGAATACCGTCTCCAGGTTTGGTTGATGCTCTCTTATGTTGGATGTTTGTTTAGGATAATCATTTCATTTAGTGACCAATGTCATCTAATGTTTATGTGTAAGTGCAGATGTGTCCAGATTCAGCTGCAAATTTGACTACTTTTACATATTTCTGTGCTTCTGACTTAATCTTTTTATGGTTTTTCAGCTTCAAATCCTCATTCTGATACGGCCCTATTTAGTTCTCTTCAGCTCTACTCAATTCAATCAAGTATTAATCTATTATACTAGTCCAGTATCAATCAGCTTTATCTTTTATATCTTTCATTTTGACCCTGTCCTGTGTCCAGAGGCTAGAGAGAGAAGCGGAGAGGAAGAATTTGGTTTAAACTCTAGGAAGTGTTTCGCAAATCCAGAATCATGGTCACACACTTGAGAGGACAGACACACACACAAACAGGACAGGACGGGACGGGACACAGTGCAGCAGTAATGGAGTAACGGAGAGCGAGGAGGAGTGCTATTGTGAGAAATCCCAGTGGCTCAGGCTTAAGTGACTAAAAAAGGACTCGGGGTCATCTGAGCCAGCAACAACCTAAAATTTACAAAAACCTGTCCCCTTTTTTCTGAAGCCTTCCAAACCAAAGACTGCCAGCTGGGTTTACAGGAGGGGAACCTGAGAGCATAATGCGCTGACCCTTATTCTAATTTTGGAAACTGCAACCCATAAAATGATCTCCTCCAGTCTGCAGTTTGAGAGGAGTTCTTTAAATCAAGCTCTGCATATTTAATTCTTCAAACTTTCTTTTGCTTTATGCCTCTACGAAAATCATATTTAACTCTGTCATCAAAACAGATCAGGGCGTTTTGGATGTTTGCTATTTATGATGGAGAATTTATGGGCAATGCAACAAAGGTTGGCTTTTTTATATGAACAGATTTTATGAGATTAGTATACGACATAATGATCAAAGTAGGATTAACAATCCTGTGAGCAGTTCTGAGTTCTTAACTTTGCAATTTTCAAATGGTGCAAAGGCTCAAAAATCCAGTTTTCTGTGCTTTTAAATTAAAACAATTTCAAAATGCAGAAAAACCTCCATCCATCTATGTTCTTCTGTTTATCCGGGGTCGGTCGCGAGGGCATCAATCTAAGCAGACAGGCCTATAGTTCCCTCTCCTCTCTCTTCACCACAACAGTCCGGTACAACACCCACATCACTGCAGATGCAGCACAAATATCGATCTCACGTTCCATCTTTCCTTCACTCATGAACAAGACCTTGAGATACTTAAATTCCTCCTCTTGGGGCAGGACCTCGTCCCTGACCTGGAGAAGGCATTCTATTCGTTTTCCAATTCAAGACCATGGTTTCGGATTTAGAGGAGCTGATTCTCATCTCGGCTGCTTCATGCTCGGCTGTGAACCGCTCCAGCAAAAACTGGAGACCACTGTTTGATGAAGCCAACAGGACCACATCACCCGGGAAAGCAGAAATCCTCAGGCCACCAAAACGGATCCCCTCACCACCTTGGCTGCGCCTAGAAATCCTGTCCATAAAGGTTATGAACAGAATCGGTGACAAAGGGCAGCCTTGGTAGAGTCCAACTCTCACTGGAAACAAGCTGGACTTACCGCCGGCAATGCGGACCACGCTCTAACAGTGGTCATACAGGGACCTAACAGCCCATACCAGAGGACCTTGTACCGCATACTACCGAAGTACCATCCCGAGAGAAAAACCTGTATCTATTAATTGTTTGGACCGAATTTTGAAAACCAAGCCAAAATAAGCGTATTAATTTCTGAGATCTTCATTTATAATCTCAAACGTACTTTGTTGAAGGGACAATGACCATGTTTCCTTTTCAGGTGCTGCCTAACTCCTCCAAAGAATACGACGTCACGTGGTTCGTATCATCCAGCCCCTGCACTGCCTGTGCCGCCAAGCTGGCCAACGTTCTGCAGCAACGCAAAAAGGTTCGCCTCACCATCTTCTGCTCCCGCCTCTTTGAGTGGGAGGAGCCAGAGATAAGGGAAGGCCTCAAGGCTCTGGCGAGGGCCGGGTGCAAACTGCGAATGATGAAGCCTGCTGACTTCCAGCTGGTTTGGGAAATGTACGTGGAAAAGGAGGACGAAACCTTCACGCCGTGGGAAGACTGCAAAGACAACTACGAGTACTATCTGGAGAAACTGGGTGATATCCTCAACTAGACGTGAGTTATTGTGTATAAAGCCTTTTCTGGGTGAATTCATCTTTATTTTTTAGCATCAACTTAAATACTAACTCTACTTTCTTTGTGGGTTTCTCTGTCTTACCGTTCCAGGTTTCCTCTGACTGAACCAAAAACACACACGTGTTTTCTTTGCAGTGAGATGATTGAATGAACACTTGTGGTAAATTTTTTTTACTTTTTATTTTGATGAGTTCACATATCAAAGCACAAGAATTGTAGATAAATATCTGATAATATCCAACTGGTTGCATTTGAAGAGAAACACTTATATTTCATTCAAGAACTGTTTACAACAATAAAGAAAAAAACAATAAAACTCTTTGGAGAAGTTAATTCTGCTGCTATCTGCTGTTTGCTCAGACTAAAAGGAAGAAAGAGATTATATTAATAATGTTTCCTCTGGTGCATTTAAACAGCCACGTAGAAATAATATTTACAATTGTTAAAGCAGGTAACATAAAAACGAAAAAGTACAAAATGATGCATTTTAAAAATGTTTTTCCTTGAAAAAACATTTTTTATGATCTCTATAAGTTGTAAGTACATTTTATTTATATAGCACTCATCATAGACAGAAAATCACAAAGTGCTTCCCATAGATCAAAACAAATAATGTCATAAAATTATAAAGATAAAAACAAAGTAATAAAATTATAAAATACCATCAAACAAATGAAAGATTATTACAAATTCAAGGTAAAAATAAGAAAATAGAAAAAGGTTTAGGTAAAAGCAGCTTTAAATAAAATGGTCTAAAGCTGTTTTTCAAAACTAATAACAGATCATTCTAAAGTTTAGATGCAACAGTCTGGAAGGAGCGATCACCTCGATTTTTATATCTGGTCTTTGGAACTTCTAGAAGGTTCTGGTGTGTGGACCTGAGGGCTCGGGTTGGAGCATAAGGCTTTAACAGTTCAGTAATAAAGGGAGGAGCTTGACCATGTGGAGCATTGAAAGTTCTAGTCAGGATTCTAAAATGAACTCTAAAGGTAACGGGTAACCAGTGCAGAGACATCAGAACAGGAGTGATGTGTGCTCTTCTGTTTGCTCCAGTTAGGAGCCTCGCTGCAGAGTTCTGGACCAACTGAAGGCGGTCAAGGTATTTTTTGTTAAAACATGTGAAGAGTGTGTTACAGTAATTTAGACGGGAGGAGATAAAGGCATGGATAACCATTTCAAGTCCATGTTTTGACACCAACCTTTGCAGTTTGGAGATATTTCTTAAGTGACAAAAGCAGTTTTGAACCAAAGTTTTTGAGTGGCCTTCAAGAGACATTGTTGTGACAGAAAATCAAATTCAGATCTGCACCAGATAAGTTAAGAGACAATTCTAAAAGTTAGCTTTTTTTTAACTTTCAAGCAAATAAAATGTTGAATCATCTTCAGTGCTGAAAGGACATCATCCCACCACCATTTTCTGTTGATTCATGGCTGTTGGTGGTCACAGCTGAGAAAGGAACAATGCAAAAAAAAAAAACTGCTTTAAAGGAAGCGGAGCAGCATCGTTAGAGGGATGAGTCTGTAATTTATATTTATTACCTTGGTCTTCTGTTGAGGGTTTAGGCATCAGAGTTGTTTCACTGGAGATGGCATCATTCTCCTCACCTTCTGCGCACATGATCAGATAAAAAAAACTCCAGTTTTGTGATTCTGACTTTTTATAGAGAAAATATATAATAATAAATATTATTTAGGTTTTAGTTGGATTACCTTTAGGTGATGGATTCAGATCTGCATCTTTTATATACTCAACCAGTGGACAGGGTGAATCTGAAACAGGAAGAACTTAAGTGTTGCTGTGCGTGTCTGTAGGTGCAACTTCAGAGAATGGGGTCAAAAATGGTTTTTAGATGACTCATGAATAACCAAATCCACATAAACAGGTTCAGCTGGGGTCAACTCACCAGTAAAGTCCTTCACCTGAGCCCTGATGAACAGGTTGTCATCTTCTGTCTTCTCAAAATCAGAAGCTGCATGACAAGATCAGACTGATAAAACCTCTCATTGTTGGCTTTTAAATGATCAGATCTAAACCTGAATTAACCACCGAGTGCTGTTGTGTCTATTCTGGTGGTTTTTGTTTGTGGTGTAGATTTAAATTAAAATGTTAAAGGGGAAGAGCCAAACAGTCACTTAGATCAGGGTTATGCATTCAAACGTCACATCTGGATTACATAAGATTACATTAAACCACACCTGGTTTGCGGAAGATTCGGAGAGCAATGCATCCAATGAAGACGGCGATGATCCCAAAGAAGATGCAGCCTGAGATGGCGAGAAGGATTCTTCTTTTTAAAACTAAAAAGTAAATAAATAAATAAATAACTAGAAACAGTTTTTATTTTGTCAGACATATAAAGTAAATAAGAATCAAATATAACCTAAAGTTGTCAGTTCTACTCACGCAGGTTCTTGGTTCTGTAAGAGTCACTGGTCACTGAGTAAAATGGCCTCTCGTTGCGGGTTCCCTTGCAGGTATAGCGGCTCTGGTCCGGGTCATCCTGGGGCGTGACCTTGTGCTCCTCTGAGAGTGGCAGGTCCACTTGCTCGTTCTCCTTGAACCTGTTTTTGAAACAGTCTTTAAAACAGAACTTTCTGTGAAAAATCCATTTAAGATGCTGATTATTATTAGTATTAATACCACGTGTAGTTCCAACTGAGTGCGCTGTCCTTCACGTTACACTTCAGCAGCAAGCTGTCAGTGGAGAAGACATCTGCCCAGCGAGTGAGGAGAATAATAGCTGCCTCTGGGCGCTCTGGAACAAACACATCAACTGTGATAGAAGCTCAACAGGAAACAAATGGCAGGAGCAAGAGAATAAAAAACACACCTTCTATTGTAAGTTTTGCAGCTTCACTCTTGTCTGATTGGAAGCTTGCTCCCCTCTTGACCTGGCATTTATATGATCCAGTGTCCGCTAGTCCAGCAGAACTAATGTTGTAATGGTGTCCAGCTTTAAAAGGGGAGTCATTTTTGTACCACAGGTAACTCCATCCAGATGAGACATTGATGTGACAGTGAAAGGAGACAGAATCGGCGGTGTGCATCAAACTGTCGTCAGGATTCTGCACCAGTGTGACTCTGGGTTTGGTATCTGATGGACCATCATAATCAGAAAGGGAGATGTCAAGTTAATGCTCAATTTAAGGAAACGACAGGCGTTCAGGCTGTAGCCTTTCCACCTCATGTTGACCTTTTGTTTACAGGAGCTGTCAGCTTTCACATGACTGATAGAAATAAAAGAAATGTTTAAATAGTTTTTGATAAAATTGTCAGATTTACAGCAGTAAATGTACCACTTTTGCGTTTAAGCATTTTTTAAATACATTTAATAAAATAAAAAAACATATTTTAATATTATTATTTATAATAATAATTGCTCACCATAGATATCAAGCATGACTTCTTTGCTGAGCTTGCTGTTGACAGACCTGCCCTTCAGGGCCCCAGAGCAGCTGTAGTTTCCACGGTGTGATGTTGAAGCAGCAGTTATAGAAAGTTTAGTTCCATCATTTTCAATGAGGACACTGCTGTTGGCCTTGATCAGGTTTTTATTTCTGAACCATGTAAATATCCACCCAGAGCTTCCCGTCATCCCACAGCTCAGTTCCACTCTCTCCTTGGGAAACACGTCCAACCACTGGGTGGCGTTATGCAGCACCGGAACAGGAATTTCTGAGGAGGAAAAACCTCAGAGGGATTAATGAAACATTAGAAATAGAGGATGCAAATGCCTGCAGGTCTTCAACGAGCAAGTCTTGTTACTTCCAGTATCAAAAACAAGGCTGACCCAAGTCTTTGTATGGCCCTCCCTATGTGTAACATGCCGGCTATCATTAGCATCTTTAGTAATCAGCTTACATCATACAGGTGTTATTGTGGATAGTGTTGGAGCAAACCAACAGAAATGTTCAAATGTGCATTTTGAAATGCAGATTGTTATTTAAGTGTGGTATATTAATTCAATTATTTGAAAGAAACATCAGCAGGCAAACACCAGATTTACAGTAAAAATGTTAGGTTTTCTATTTTCTGGAATTTTGAAACGTCTCCTGCTAAAAAACAGCATGTGATGTGTTTTGGAGATGCTCTGGACATACATGCTAGACCAGCAACCCATCCTAGACCAGCATACTAGCACCCAAACCACAACATGTGCTGCTTTTTTCAACAGGGGTGTAAAATATGATGCACTACGAAATAAAACAAAATGACACTACAGGAAATGATATAGATAGATTGTTTTTTTTTTCCATATTAATTGAAGTTATTAAAACATTTTTTTCCTCATGTCATCTTGGTGCTCATGAGCGCCCTCCTGGTGGTGTGGGGGTCCATAGCAGTCACTTAATTTGCATATGCCTTGGGCCGGCTCTGATTAATAAATTATTACATTTTTGTCTGTAATTTTTCTGCCTGACCTGTTTGACAAAACAGACATTATCTTCAGATCAACATATTTTGTTCCTTAGAAGTCATGAGTCATTATTTTCTTCATTTTTTTCTTATTTACTTTTTTTTTGCAAGCATTTAACACTAATTTAACATCATTGGTGAATTGTGCCTATGATCTAAGTTTTTTTCTTCTTTTTTCTCACCCCAGTTTTAAAAGAGATTCACAGAAGAGTCACTGCAATCTCCTGAAGGACCCCCACCTTGCCGGTTGTCCCTCTCAGAAAAAGCTAAACCACAACATCCTGTTTCAACAGAAAAGTTTCTATAAAAAGGAAGCACTCATGCTAACTAAAGCTGAAACCTTTTCTTTTTAAAGTCATAAAAACAGAATTTTTTTTATTAATCCAGTACTAATTTCTTCTAAATGTGAAAGAAAAAACAAAAGCCCACTGACCTTTAACATCCAGTTGTATTTTATTACTTTGTACCGTTGATGTTTTCTGACCTCTGCTGGCTTTGCATGAATAGCTGCCTTTATCAGAGGCAGCCAGTGTGAAGCTGGATGATGCACCAGACAGAAGAAGCTCATTGTTATCTTTGTACCACTGATAACTCCAGTCGGAGGAAACATCAACGCTGCAAGTGAAGGTCATTGTTTCTCCAACATACATTGGGACAAAATCAAGATTCCTTCTCAGTTTTGGAGTCGGCATGTTTGCTGGAAAAAAGAAATAAAGTCAGGAACTTTTCCTCTTTACAAAATAGTTTTGTCTTTTTTTAGGGATGTCATGATATAACTTTGTCACGTTCAATACGATGCAGATATTGCAGCCTTCAGTATTGACTAATACCGATATGAATCCGATATGACATCAGCACAAATCACACATGTTTTAATTATTTCATAGTGTGGAATGTATAAAAGGCTTGATCAAGTCTGTCGCTAAATGCTTGCTCAGTACGAGGATTGCTGTAAAGTCTTGATGCAATCTGCTGAGTTCCTTATATAGAAAACGTTTTACTGATTGGCTTAATGAACTGACCTGTATTGGAATGTTTACTACATGAAGTGCCTTGAGATGACTCTTGTCGTGATTTGGCACTATAGAAATAAACATGAATTGAATTGCATTGAATCAAGTGATATTACTCAAACAGGAAATAAAAGCCAGCAACAGTAAGAATAAAAAACTGACCAATTTTTTTATTAACCCTTGAACCCTTGAATTCAAGTGGTGTTTTGTTATTGGACTTCTGCGCCAGTCATGGATTGTCCATAATGAACACCATGTTCAGACATAAAGGTGTCTATATGTGCTCTTGGCACCAGGATACCTTAGGCCGCAGCTCGATGATCGACTGTTGTTGTTTCATCTGATCTGCAGCCACATGTCTTGGACACTCGGGTGAAGAGAGGGGCGGAGCTGTCAACTGACCACTACCTGGTGGTGAGTTGGCTCAGATGGTGGGGGAGGATGCCGGTCAGACCAGGCAGGCCCAAAAGTATTGTGAGGGTCTGCTGGGAATGTCTGGCAGAGTCTCCTGTCAGAAGGAGCTTCAATTCCCACCTCCGACAGAACTTCCAAAACTTTCCGGGGGAGGCGGGGGACATTGAGTCTGAATGGACCCTGTTCAGTGCCTCCATTGTTGAGGCGGCCGACCGGAGCTGTGGTCGCAGGATCGTTGGTGCCTGTCGTGGTGGTAACCCCCGAACCCGCTGGTGGACACCGGCGGTTAGGGATGCTGCCAAGCTGAAGAAAGAGTCCTATCAGGTCTTTTTGGCCTGTGGGACTTCAGAGGCAGCTGACTGGTACCGGCAGTCCAAGCGGAACCCGGCTCGGGTGGTTGCCAAGGCAAAAACCGGGGCATGGGAGGAGTTCAGCGAGACTATGGAGCAAGACTTCCGTACGGCTTCAAGGAGATTCTGGTCCACCATCCGGTATCTTGGGGGGGGGGGGGGGGGGGGGCAGTGCGCTACCAAAACTATCTATAGTGGGGACGGTGTGCTGCTGTCCTCTACTCAGGACGTTGTGGATCGGTGGGCAGAATACTTCAAATACCTCCTCAGTCCCACTGACATGTCTTCCAGTGAGGAAGCAGAGTCTGGGGCAAGGCTCCAGGGGTGGATGAGATCGGCCCGGAGCTCCTTAAGGCTCTGGATGTTATGGGGCTGTGTTGGCTGACGCGGCTCTGCAAAATTGAGTGGACATCGGGGGCAGTCCCACTGGACTGGCAGACCGGGGTGGTGGTCCCCTTATTTAAAAGGGGGGACCGCAGGGTGTGCTCCAACTACAGGGGGATCTCACTCCTGAGCCTTCCTGGTAAGGTCTATTCAGGGGTTCTGGAGAGGAGGGTCCGTCGGATTGTTGAACCTCAGATTCAGGAGGAGCAATGTGGTTTTCGTCCTGGCCATGGAACACTGGACCAGCTCTATACCCTTAGGGGGATCCTGGAGGGTGCGTGGGAGTTTGCCCAACCAGTCTACATGTGTTTTGTGGATTTGGAGAAGGTGTTTGACCGGGTCCCTCGGGGGGCCCTGTGGGGGGTACTCCGGGAGTATGGGGTACCAGGCCCTCTGATACGGGCTGTTAGGTCCCTGAATGACCGGTGTCAGAGCTTGGTCCGCATTGCCGGCAGTAAGTTGGGCTCGTTCCCAGTGAGAGTTGGACTCCACCAAGGCTGCCCTTTGTCACCGATTCTGTTCATAACCTTTATGGACAGGATTTCTAGGCGCAGCCAAGGTGTGGAGGGCATCCGTTTTGGTGGCCTGAGGATCAGGTCTCTGCTTTTTGCAGATGATGTGGTCCTGTTGGCTTCATCAGAATGTGATCTTCAGCTTTCGCTGGAGCGGTTCACAGCCGAGTGTGAAGCAGCTGGGATGAGAATCGGCTCCTCTAAATATGAGACCATGGTCTTGATTCGGAAAAGGGTAGAATGCCTTCTCCGGGTCAGGGATGAGGTCCTGCCCCAAGTAGAGGAGTTTAAGTATCTTGTGGTCTTGTTCACGGGTGAGGGAAAACTGGAGCATGAGATCGATAGGCGGATTGGTGCTGCATCTGCAGTGATGCGGGCGTTGTACCGGTCTGTCGTGGTGAAGAGAGAGCTGAGTCAGAAGGCGAAGCTCTCGATTTACCGGTCAATCTACGTTCCTACCCTCACCTATGGTCATGAGCTTTGGGTAGTGACCGAAAGAATGAGATCGCTGATGCAAGCAGCCGAAATGAGTTTTCTCTGAAGAGCGGCTGGGCTCTCCGTTAGAGATAGGGTGAGAAGCTCGGTCATTCGGGAGGGGCTCGGAGTAGACCCGCTGCTTCTCCACATCGAGAGGAGCCAGTTGAGGTGGCTCAGGCATCTGGTCAGGATGCCTCCTGGACGCCTCCCTGGTGAGGTTTTCTGGGCACGTCCAACGTGGAGGAGACCCAAAGGTGGACCCAGAACACGATGGAGGGACTATGTCTCTCACCTGGCCACACCTTGGGATTCCCCCGGAGGAGCTGGCCCAAGTGGCTGGGGTAAATGGTAAATGGTAAAAGGCCTGTATTTGATATAGCGCCTTCTAGAGTTCTTGAAACCCCCCAAGGTGCTTTACAACACAATCAGTCATTCACCCATTCACACACACACATTCACACACTGGTGGGGATGAGCTGCGATGTAGCCACAGCTGCCCTGGGGCGCACTGACAGAGGCGAGGCTGCCGAGCACTGGTGCTACCGGTCCCCCCGACCACCACCAGCAGGCAACGTGGGTTAAGTGTCTTGCCCAAGGACACAACGACAGCGACAGACTGAGCGGGGCTCGAACCTGCAACCTTCCGATTACGGGGCGAGCACTTAACTCCTGTGCCGCCGTCGCCCCCCGTCTTCGTGTGGAGAGGGAAGTCTGGGCCTCTCGCCTTAGGCTACTGCCCCCGCGACCCGACTCCAGATAAGCGGATGAAAATGGATGGATGGTTAAATAAATGTGAACAGCTGATGTTAGGGACATAAGGAAAAATAAACACATATTGTCTAAAGTTTCAATTTCACACGCTTCAAAATCCTCATGCAATGTTTTGTGATCCTGCTTCAAATGCACGAAGAGGTTGGATGCAATAATCTTCCCCGGTTCGGCTCCACTATGGGAAACTTGTGCATGACAAGTGCTGCACTGAGCCAAACTGTCTTTTTCTGACTTTAACAAAAAATACAGCCACACGGCCAACATTGTTCCTTGCTACTTGGCTAGCACACACTGTTCTGATCACATGGACTTTGCATGCTGGATCTGGGCGCTGCTGGATAGAATTGCTGGAATGGAATTTAAAGCTGAACCGACTGCTTATATCAGAGATCTTTGATGCAGTCTGATATAATCCCATACAGTTCTTTTGGGCCGATATCCGATATCAATATCAGAACGGGACATCCCCAGCTTTTTTATAAGGTGTAACTCATTCATTTGAAGCAGTACATTCTAATTCCTCTTTTACTAAAATGGTAGTAATAATTTCATGGATGTAAGTATAACAATAACTCACCATGAACTGTTATATCAGTTGTGTTGCTCAATCCAGAGATGACTCCTCTGGACTTAAGCTCAGCTCTGCAGGTATATCGTCCATGGTGGCTTTGAGTGACAGAAGTGATGTTCAGCAATGATCCTTTGCTGTTTACAATAACCTGTGAGTCATTTTGGAGAGTTGTTTGATCTCTAAACCAGGTAAACGTCCACTCAGGGCTGCTCACTTCACAGCTAAACCCCAGGTCTTCATTTTTAAACACTTCTGACCAGGGACTCAGCAGCTTGAGGGTTGGTATAGGCAGGTCTGTACAATCCATCACAAAACAGAACTCATGCAGCTAATTGAAAAAGCGTGACAAAACCTTCCTTCTGGCGTGTGACGTCACTGATCATGCAGCGTTTTTATGTACTCACCAGAGACGTGAATGGTCGTGGCATCGCTCTGAGTTGTGGTGAACAATTGTTTGCCCATTCTCTTGGCTTTGCAGTAATAATCTCCTCTGCTATAATGATCTATGGCAGATGTATTATAAGTGTTCCTGCTGGATGAATGAATTTCTGCTCCTTCATGGTACCACACATATTCCCATCCGGAGGATACGTTCACACTGCATGTGAAGGTGATCCTTTCTCCAGGGTACATCGGGTCAAAGTTTGAACCTCGAGTCAACTTGGATTTTGGCTTGTTTGCTGTTTAAAAATGACAAAGATAAGAAAATGAAAAAGGCTTTTATACAGGTGGCAGTCGAAAAATTAAAATTAGGTGCTAAGTCCATTTATTTCAGTAATTAATCTTAGACTGAGAGACCATCCAAAGGCTCAGGAAACCTTTAGTAAGTGTTTTGGATGCATCAGCTGATTAGAGTGCTACACTTGCAGTCTAGAATATTGAACTTTTTCACAATATTGTAATTTTTTGAGATTTTAAATTTGGATTTTTTTATAAGCTTTAAGCTATAATCATCCCATTTGTAACAAAGACCCAAACCCATGGTCACATTCACTTCAGATCTGCTTTTATGTATTTCTGACAGAGGAAATGAAGACCCTGTTCCTAAGTTTCAACGTTTGATAGAGTGATAACTACTTAAAAAATTTCATTGCGTGTGTGGTGTTAGCATGGTAACAGCTAAATATTGCTCATCGTCGGTTTTAGAGTGTGAGGCTGAGGCAGATATGAACTCATTTCACACGTTCAAATAGGGATTTGCTAGTGGGTGTTGGTTTAGTTTCACATTTTCTTCTGCTAACTTGAAACTGGAGGTTCATGCCACAGAGAAAAGGCCTTAAACAAAGCATTTTTATATAAATATTAACAAAACTAATTTTCTTTTTTAAGTTCTCACATATTTCTTTAGTATAGAGTTGTACAAAACTGAACTCCAGTGTTTTATTGCTGCAACGTGTCACGGAGAAATTAGCTTATTAAAAAAATGCAGGCTATAATAATAATTAACATTTTAATTTTTTTGTTTGTTTTTTAAACAATGTTTGCCTTCATTCGCCCCAGCATGTAGACTAAGATGAATAACTAAGCCACCTTCATAAAACTACCGGTAGTTAAAATCTTATTTTTTCTATTTGGTAGCTTAGTTTAGGGTTTAGTGTTAGCTCTTCATATGCTACAGTTACATTTGTGCGTGAGCTTTGTTGGTACAGTAAAACTGTGCATTGCATTACAACTGTTCTTCTGCTAACCCAAATCATGCAAAACTCATTACATTTGAAATAATTTGGACAATTGTGTTTATACAAATAGTATAACAGACTTTAAAAATGATCAACAACAGGACATTGAAGAAAATATCAAATTAAGGTTAAATAGAAACCAACAGGATTAAAACACATTTTCCTAAAAACAAACTAATTTAAATAAGCATCATATAAACTTTTGCAATATTTGATTATATATTTTTATTCTCTAAGCCAGTCTTTGTATGTGACATAAACATTTTAAGTTTCTGATGCAATGCAAACAAACTCACCATAAACTTGTATGTGATTTGTGTTGCTTTCAGCAGAAACGAGTCCTCTAGATTTAATCTGAGCTTTGCAGGCGTACATCCCTTCATCAGCTCCAGTAACTGATGGGATGCTGAATGGTGATCCCTCTTTAGTCAGCTGTTTTTGGTCCCTGAACCAGGTGACGGTCCAGCCAGAGGCTACCCCATCACAGCTGAACTCCAGTGTTTCAGTTTCAAACACGTCTGACCAGGGTGTCAGCCGTGTCATATGAGGTGTTGGTGGGTCTGAAAATAGGTTTCAGTTAAACACTTTGATCAAATTTTCTACTAGATGCCAAACCTCAATAATGGTGCAGCTTATTCATGTGCTTACCAGAGACCTGCAGGGATATTGTTTTACTTGCATCAGTGTAGAATAGCTCTTTGCCCATTCTCTTGGCTTTGCAATGATAATCTCCTTTGCTAGATTGAGCTATAGCTGATATAATGTAAGTGTTTCTGCTGGATGACTGAATTTCTTCTCCGTCATGGTACCACACATATTCCCATCCAGACGACTTGTCCACGCTACATGTGAAGGTGATATTTTCTCCAGGGTACATCGGTTCAAAGTTTGAACTTTGGGTCACAGCGGGCATCGGCTTGTTTGCTGTTTAAAAATCAGAAATAAAAGGAGACCAATAAACTTTATACCATTTATGAAAATTTTGTTCTGGGGTATTCGGTTCTAGGCCTAGAGGGCTGGTATCTAGCACGTTTTAGTGGTTTCTCTGCTCTATCACACTTGATTCAGTGGTGGTGGTTGGACCGGGCTGGTGGCACCAGAGTTCAGCAGTCCATGTGTGTGTCCCAGGGCAGCTGTGGCTACATTGTAGCTCTTCATCACCAGTGTGTGAATGTGTGTATGCCTGGACTGAATGACTGCTTGGGTTGTAAAGCATCTTGGCAGGTTGGAGAACCCGAAAAGATACTATATAAATGCAGGCTATTAACCATTTACCATTCACACTTCAGTCTGCCATTATATAGTATTTATTCTTCTCAAGCTTTCGGTCAAAAGACCTTCATCAGGAATTCCAGCACCTCAACAGATGAGTGGTGTTTCTTCGTTTTTATTAACCATTTACCATATGAAAGAAAGCTAAAAGGTCAGGGGTTTTATATATGGAAACATTTGTGTTTCCGTTTCTGTTAGAAACTCAAAAATAGAAAAAAAGGTTATCAACACCAGTCACATTTATTCTTTAATAACCACATGGAAAAAAAGAAAATAAACAATTTAATAATTTCTCTTTTGCATATTTTTTGGGGGCAGAGAAAATTATAATTTAATACAAAGCAAATGTTTTGTTTAAATTATTTTAATATTATGAAACAGATAATAATGTAAAGTATCAATGTATAACTTTTTTTACACTGCCTTATTTATAATTTTTTTTTTTTACAATAGTTTTTATTTATTTATTTGTTTGTTTGTTTTCTTTGGGGTGTATCAGTGCAGGCTTTAAAAAGACAAGGGAATTAAAATTTGCAACTTCAAAGTCTCCAAAATGCTCAGTTTGAGTTGTTTCCTGTTGGGCGTAGATTCCAAGCGCTTACGGGTTTTCTTACAGTTGCAGTTTAAGAAAAAAAAGAGTGTATATTTCTGGACACAGTTCCTGCTGAATTTGTTCTCTAACATTTTGTAGGGCAGCAGTCTCTGCAACTCATTTCTGTAAAGAGCCATCAAAGATGTTCCGTTCTATTTTTACTTACTTTTAAGAGTTTTACTTTGTCTTGTCTTTGACTCACATATTTTTGCATAAAACATGCCTAGCTGAAACAAAGATTTCTACTTTCGGTTCCATTTTTTTTCTTTCCTGCATGTAGTTTCTTGCTTAAGTTAATTTTGCTAACTCTACAACGAATGAAACACATGTTTACCAATTTATGTACTTTGCTACACTTTCAGAGACATAGAAAAGCTTGTATGCATACTTGTATGCAGAGAAAACGAAAACTTAAGATCTTTTTAAATTGTGACATTTTAAATGAGCGTTATACAGTGCCTGGCCCCCCAAAAATGTCGCCACCCCAATAAAGTTCACACACTTTGATCTTTTGTTGGACCACCTTTTGCTTTTATTATGGCACATACTCGATGTGCCAGGGGCGTCACTAGGATTGCAAGATAGAGGGGGCTTAGGCCCAGGAGTTTGACGTTGAACATGTTTTTGCCACATCCTGCAGAGACTTCCTCAATTAAGTCATCATTTGAAGAACATTTAACAGATCCTGTTATTTTATTATTTTCGTGTCCTTTTCTGCCTTCTTAAATTTTCTCTCTTCTTTTTATTAAAAAAAACCCTAAATCAGTTCATTAGCAGGGTCTATGTTGAAGAAAGGTGTTATATATATCCATAAAAAATTAGGTAAATTATATTTCCAAATAAAACTATTCATTTAAGTCTACTGAAACCCGCCTAAAATGGACCTAACAACGTTAGTGCGCTGTGGCATTGTTTCGATAAGCTTCTGCAATGTCATAAGATTTATTTCCATCCAGTGTTGCATTAATGTTTCACCAAGATCTTGCATTGATGATGGTAGAGTCTGACCGCTGCACAAAGCCTTCTCCAGCACATGCCAAAGATTCTCAATGGGGTCAAGGTTTGGACGCTGTGGTGGCCAATCCATGTGTGAAAATTATGTCTCATGCTCCCTGAACCACTCTTTCATTATTTGAGCCTGATGAATCCTGGCATTGTCATCTTGGAATATGCCCGTGCCATCAGGGAAGATGGAATAACCTGGTCATTTAGTAGATTGAGGTAGGCAGCTGACCTCATTCTTGGAGCACATCCTGTTGCTGAACCTAGACCTGACCAGCTGCAGCAACCCCAGATCATATCACTGCCCCCACAGGTTTGTACAGTAGGCATTAAGCATAATGGGCACATCTTCATGTCATCTGCCTCTCTTCTTACCTTGATCCACCCATCACTCTAGAACAGGGTCCATCTGGACTCATCAGACCAGTTTTGAATAATGTTGGACAGTTCTTAAGCCAATTTTCTTCTTGATGCATGACAAAGACCTGACCCTTTTAAAAACAGACTAACATCTTTTTCATGACCACTAGATGTGTCTTTTTCCATGTGGTTGTTTAAGAAATGAGAATCAACTTATTGCACCAGCTGGGGTAAAATAACTGGTTGCCCATGCAGTAATTGTCCAATAGGAGGCTCTTACCTATTTGCTTTGTTAAATCCAGGTGGAGACTTCTTTTTTGTTTAGCCATGCAAGGCAGTGTATGAACTTTTGGAATATTTAATTACATTTTTCACAAAAGTGAAAGTTCACATATTAAATATGACATTAGCTCATCTTTCTAGTACAGTGGAGGATCTTTTTCTTCTGGGTGCATTATCTGAATAACTGCCAATCATTCTGGTGAACCATTTATGCAAAGCCGTCATTGTAGGTGCTCGTTGCTGGGTAGTTTTCACTTCCTGCACATGTGCAAAGCAAAGCTTGGGCTCTCCACAGATGCCTCTGTCGCCGGATTTCTGCTCGACAGGTAAGCTAAAGTTCGTCATGCTATTTGGAGAAATTAATCTCAGATTAATACTAGAAGTGCTGCAAGGCCGGCAGCTACTTTTAAACAGAGCATGCCCGAGGATAACTGGGCGTTCTCTCTCATTAGCTTTTTTATTTCTAAACTTGGAGCGGGTGGTTCTTCCCTGAAGTTCAGAAACACCCTCTGACATATCTTTAAGTAGAATTGATGTGTCTTGCTTAAATATGCTGATGAAGATATGTATTATTGTTGTATGTGTAAAAACTAACAAGCCCGACTTCATTCTTTTCAATATATTATAATGTTACATTAAAAAAAACAAGAAACAAAACACTTACCATAAACTTTTATAAGATTTGTGTTGCTTTCAGCAGAGATGAGTCCTCTAGATTTAATCTGAGCTTTGCAGGCGTACATCCCTTCATCAGCACCAGTAACTGATGGGATGCTGAATGGTGATCCCTCTTTAGCCAGTTGTTTTTGGTCCCTGAACCAGGTGACGGTCCAGCCAGAGGCTACCCCATCACAGCTGAACTCCAGTGTTTCACTTTCAAACACATCTGACCAGGGTGTCAGTTGTGTCATTTCTGGTGTAGGTGGGTCTGAAAATAGGTTTCCACAGAGTGTGTTTCTTTATGTAATGACAACATATAATCACTCAAATTTTCCATTAAATGCTTAACCTAGTTGATGACACAGCTTAGATATGTGCTTACCAGAGACCTGCAGGGATATTGTTTTACTTGCATCAGTGTAGAACAGCTCTTTGCCCATTCTCTTGGCTTTGCAATAGTAATCTCCTTTGCTAGATTGAGCTATAGCAGAGATATTATAAGTGGTTTTGATGGATGAATGAATTTCTTCTCCGTCATGGTACCACACATATTCCCATCCAGATGACACGTCCACGCTACATGTGAAGGTGATACTTTCTCCAGGGTACATCGGGCCCAAGTTTGAACTTCGGGTCACCGCGGGCATCGGCTTGTTTGCTGTTTGAAATTAATACAGAAAATGGAACATTATGGACTTTTTAAAAAGCAAGCATCGAAGAGACAACACTAACCCTAAAACTAAACGTTTCAAGTCTGCTTAGCATAAAAGTAGGGAGGTATGTGTTTAACTGATTATTTCTTTGTTTTCACAAGCTTCTTGGCAGTACATCATTTAGTGCTGGAAAGCTTAATTATTTATCGTGAAATGATGCCTTCTAGTAAAAAGATTTGTTTTGAGTTTCACACCTGAAAAACTCACTAACCCGTTTCCCCCAAACTGTTTATTTTGCTACTCTGGTTTGGTTTTGTTGGATTGAATGAGATCACCCACACTTGTGACAAGCCTTGTTTGCCTAGCAAGGAAGACGCTGACCCAAACCATCACACTGCCTTGCCTAAAAAGTCATGGTAAGGCTATGGTCCAGTAAGAAGCCTAGCATGGTCCACATCTTATCCATTGTTTGACTCTAAATGCTACAAATGTTGTAGGCAGGATCTGAACTTCTTGCCTGTTTCTTCAATCTAATTAAATAAACACCAAACAGAATGAACTGTGTGGTAGGGAAGAATTTGCATGGTTATCAGGGTCAACAATGCATTTTCCTTCTTAAATTAAGAGGCTTCCACTAGTGTGAGCTTGATAGCCCAGAGGCATTTTTACAACAATAAATAAGGGACCAAATCCTTTTTGTGCTGTCTAGATACTTAAAAAGCAAATCTTCCAAATCTAACGATAATGCCCTAAACACATCCAAAGAGGCACAAGAGAGATTTACTTATATAAGTGATCACGAGTAAAAATTTCATGTAAAATTAAGCACTCCCAATCTCTTCTACTGTTTGGTAACTTTTGTAAAATTGAAGGCTTAATATCACTAAATAAATCTCACCATGAACTTTCAGATTGACTCCAGTGCTGGGCCCAGAGGAGACATGTTTGGATTTAAGCTGAGCTTTGCAGGTATACAGGCCTTGATCAGCTTCAGTAACTGATGAGATGCTGAGCAGTGATCCCTCTTTACCCAGAGCAGCGCCATCCTTGTGCCAAGTAGCTGTCACGTCAGGTGAATTCACCTCACACCTGAACTCCACCTTTTCAGATGTGAACACGTCTTCCCAGGGCGTCACCTGCTCCAGAGTTGGTACTGGTGGTGCTGGAAGAAAAAGAAGGCATCAGAAGTTTGTTATAAGGGCACTTATTCTAACTTTTTAAGAATTTATAAAAACAATTGTAATGCATTTACAGGGTTGCAGCTGGTCTGATAAAATATTAGAGGATAAAATCTCACCTATGACTGTAGTTGGCCGAGGTGTTGTTACGAGGTCCTCTAAAGTCTGGGTGGCTGCAGGAAGAAAAAAATTAGAACAGAACCGAGGGTTTGTATCACTCACTTACATTTGAACATAATTAGGAAAAAATTCTCAACGCATCATGAAATATAAGTAAAAAAGTTGGATTATAAGGATCAACAAACTGGCTATGAGAGAGCTCTGATGGTATTGACACACGCTGCCGTTTATTGATATGACATAAACGTACTTCATGTTCCTCATGTTTAGTTCCTCAACATCACTCAGGTCCAATTCAAACTTGTTCAATGTTTAAAAGCTCTTTATAAAACATATTTATAAAACCACAGATAGAAAGTGTGTTTTTACTCTCCAGGAAGTGTGATTATTTCTAGTTAAATTGGCTTTAAAAGATGAGTTCACGATGGGTCAGGTGTGTGTTCCTACCGTCATCTTGAGCTGCACAGGCTGCAGTCAAATCTGTCAAATCAAATAAAGATGTTGGCTCAATTTATACAGTATAAATGCATGAAAAGTAGTTTAAAACAATTAAAAACTCACATATCACGGCACAGACCCTGAGAAGCCACATTTTCCATCAAGTCTCACATGTGCAGACTCAGCTGCTGAGTTGAGTCATGTGTCAGTCAAGGAGCGATGCTCAATGAAGGAAACTGCTTGCAGTCGACATGGGTGTGTGCAGAATATTCATTTCTAATCTCACCTCACAGCAGCTTTCCTGTCACTCAGACATTTACTTTGGGTGTGAGTGTGCGTGCATGTGAGCTGTTGAAGCAACAGGAAACACGTTGGTGAACCACACTGATTGTCCAACATGCTGATTTGTGCTGAAAAAATGACAGAACGTTAGGGGAAATGAAAAGAGTGGATGACACAGAATGAACTGATGTTTTGTTGCAGAAACACCCGAAGAACACATCCTACCTAAAGGTTTACAGGAAGGACGTGTGTGAAAATGGAAGTTTTATTTATTTATATATGTTAAAAAACATTAAAAGTAACAGGTATTGGATAAGTAACATTTAAAATAAAATAAATAGTCTCTTAAATGGTTTTGGTGTTACAGGGTTAGGGTGTACAGGGTACACACACACACACACACACACACACACACACACACACACACACACACACACACACACACACACAGACATAGACATCATTCAGATGCTTTGTAAATAGGATTGAAACTAAAGTGCGAACTGTGACTGCTGAAGTAATAAAACAACTTCCTCCATGTCTCAGGTCTCTTGGGTTGGGTTTTTGTTTCCCCTTTTGACTCGCCACATCCACCATAAGGGGGCAGCACGATGCAGAAAATTCCATTCTGCCAAAATAGGCATGCTTGTTCCAACTGAGATGTGCCACAGCTGTCTATATATATATGTATATATATATATATATATATATATATATATATATATATATATATATATATATATATATATATATATATATATATATATAATGTTCAATGTCTCAAACAAAGACGAACAGAGGAGGAGACAATGGAAATGCCATAGTGGGAGGATAAACCCCTACATGGGATGTACCACCGACAGATAACTGAAGTGACTGATATCAAGAAATCCTATCAATGGCTAGAAAGAGCTGGTATGAAGGACAGCACAGAGGCACTCATCATAGCTGTACAGGAACAGGCCCTGAACACCAGAGCAACAGATGCCAAGACCTACCACACCAGACAAGACCCAAGGTGTAGGCTATGCAAAGAGGCCCCTGAGACAATCCACCACATAACTGCAGGTTATTTTTTTCTTCTATTATTCTGTCCAAGCATCTATCTCTTTAAACAAAAGCAGATTTGGCACAGCTGGAACCTCTTATTCAAGATGGGAGTCTGCCCTGCTGGAACCCGCTTCTGCTGCAAGGTCCTGTTAAAACTTCCTTCGTTTTGCCACTGGCTTGCTCAGAATGGAGTTTTTGATTTGCTGGTTTTCTTAGACAGACTGCTTTGAAATATCAGAAAAGCATTTTAACAATCTGGTTTATTCATAGTTTTTTTTTCACGACATCATTGCCACATTGAAATGCCCTCTTGAGGAGCAGATCGGCACTACAGTCCTCAGCCTTCCAGCCATTGCTCAAAAGTTTTTGTGATCAACTCAGCCAAAATGTCAGATGGTTGCAAAGCTATTAGCTGTACCAACCAACATGAAGACAAAACAGGTTTTATTTTATTTATTTTTTTACAGGATTTCATCAGAAAACAGAAATCGGAAGAGGATGACATTGTGGATCTGCATCCTTCCTTACCTGGCAACCCTCCTCTACAGTGAAACACCTCCACACATAGCATGCCTCCACACTAAACCATTTACACCATTATGATCTAGATTTAGAGTCATCTCAGTGATCTGATCAGTCAATGAATTCCCCATGATTGAGACTTATTTGAACCAGGACATCCTCAGTCTGATTGTAGAACAGCTGACTGCAGGATTTTGTATTTGAATCTGTTCTTTTTTATATGAATTTTAGATGGACTTTTCGTAAATTAGAGGTTCGCACCTTGTTATATTTTTAAATTAAAGAAGTAAATGATTTTTAGATCATGTTTCAGCACCTAAAGTAGAAACTTCCCTCAAAATGAACACCAAAGGACATAAGCTGCAGCTCCTTTTCTTTTGACAACTGAGGTCCAAGTCTGTATTTTACCCAAATTTACAAGAACATTGTGTAATTTAATATTTTTTTTCAATTGCGCAACACAAATAAAACTCACCTGAAATAAAAAAAATGATACAATTCCAAACTTTCTAAACCCATCTGCACATTTTACATACAGTATTTACAATACTTTAATAGTACCAGAGCACCAAGACACAATGTTATTTCTATTTAAAACAACCAAATCTATCAACTTTAATGAATGTGTCTCACTGAGAAGAGAAAAGCACATAGGAGTTAAGAAAATACACTTTTTTTTATTAAAGTTAAACACCGAATTGGCAGTAGATTATCAGTGGATTTGGGAAGGTTTTATTGCTTCTTCAACAATTCATATGGTAACAAACAGAAAACAAGCAGAATCAAATCTGGTAAATTTAGTTTCACATACAAGGCACCAGCTGAAACACCATGTGACACACTGGGAAGGCTGTGGTGTGTTTCTCACACCGCCAGAGATGGTTGAGATGTCAGTGGGATTTTCACTATTTACACACGTCTGCACAGCCAGCTGCATCTTCTTCAATCACTCTAGCACACACTGGAAAACACAAAAGGGATTTGTTTATTCACCGAAATTTTATTGGTTTATATTTAGTTTTCACTGAAAACTCAACATTTTAGTTTGTTGTAAGAAGTTTTGTTCTAAAACTCACCCGAAAGTATAAGACCTGATCATTCTTCTGCTGCTTCTTCAAAGGTTCTGATGGGAAGACGATTAAAGACGGGAGTTAAACGGGATTATAAGGTGTTAATAATCACTTCAACCAGGAATGTTCAGTTTAGAGTGAGAGGGATTTTTTGGTGTCAGTGAGATCCTTTTTCCATCCAGTGTTACTGGTTCTGTTCCTGGCCTCTTCACCGGTTCTTCCTCCTTCTCACATCGCAACTCGGCCCATCAGCTCATGGTAATCTGAAGAGTTTGGCGGCTTTTCAGATCACCTGGAGTCATTTTTAGAAGCCGTGCTGACATCGTTCCTGTCTCCCAGCTTAAGAAAAACTCCCTCTGTCTAATCCTTTGCTTTGGACCAAAAAGACAGGATGGAGCTTAGAAGGTAATATCTTTACATTCTCAAAAACAACTACAGTAGACACTTCAGCCTGATCAAATGACAGCTGTAATCAGAGAAGTGGATGTGACTGTGTAAACAGTCAGTTCTGATTGGTTTGAGACTTAATTTTCCGTGAATTCACATACAAACTCCCCAGCCCGCACCAAAAGCTGACAATCACATCAATTTATTTGCCTCAAACTCACAAATAAATCCTTAAAGCACATTTGAGAGCACCTTTGACTATTTTTATGCAAAATAATATTTCTGCAACATACTAAGAAATTCAATTAGAAAATGACTTAAATGTTTCACACTAGCCACCAACAATCCTAAATAAAAAACCAGCAATGAGTGTATTTGAGATGTAAGTTTTTAACTTTGAACTGAGGAAGCCCAAAATGTAAGCACAGCCTCTTTAAATACCAAAAAAACAAGTAAAGTCTGCTTTTTATGCACATTTCTTTCAGGGAGTGGGCTAGATTGTAAGAATGACACTAATAAATAAATAAAGTCAATGATTACTACATACTCAGGTCACCAGTCTGTGACAGCTCAATGGCATCAGACCTTGCAAATGAATCAGGTATGGATTTGTTATTTTAAGAGTCTGAATAGAAAATTCCTGCATCACATGCTTAACTGGAGGACATCTGATCTATAAATGTATGTATGAAAAAGGCAGATGATCCAAATAAAACCTCAACTTTGACTTTGATCCACCATAAAACACAATCAAATCATTCTCAAGTTTTCTAAGTGACTGTGAACATTACATTGTATGGATTTTTGTTCTCTGAAATATCCCAGCTGGGAAAATGTTTTCCCTTTCAATACTGAAACATGAACATGGCTGCCTAATAAACAGCTATAAATAAAGATATGAAAGACTGGAATAATCAAATTTGGCATTTCTGTTTGACTTAGACTCATTTCTGCCACATTATCACGTCTAAAAGTGGATCCTGCAGAGAGAAAAGCTGTGCACAGATCAGCTTAACGGCTAAGAGCTGAGTTTACAGATGATTGTTTACGAGTGATTCTGGAGCTGAACTGATCAACAGCCAAGCTTGTGAGTGTGTGGAAAAGGATTTTGGAGAAGCACAGCAAATCTGTATTCTGTATGAATCAGTTGTCTTTATGTCGTCGTCGTCTTCCTCCGCTTATCCAGGTCCGGGTCGCAGGGGCAGCATCCCAACTAGAGAGCTCCAGACCGTCCTCTCCCCGGCCTTCTCCACCAGCTCCTCCGGCAGGACCCCAAGGCGTCCCCGGACCAGAATGGAGATGTAACCTCTCCAACGTGTCCTGGGTCGACCCAGGGGCCTCGTGCCGGCAGGACATGCCCGAAGCACCTCCCCGGGGAGGCGTCCAGGAGGAATCCTGAGCAGATGCCCAAACCACCTCAACTGGCTCCTTTCGATCCAGAGGAGCAGTGGTTCTACTCCAAGTCCCTCCCGAATGTCTGAGCTCCTCACCCTATCTCTAAGGCTGAGCCCGGCCACCCTACGGAGGAAACTCATTTCGGCCGCTTGTATCCGCAATCTCGTTCTTTCGGTCATTACCCAAAGCTCATGACCATAGCCTCCTACCCTCACTCGTGAACAAGACCCCGAGATAGTTAAACTCCTCCACTTGAGGTAGGACCTCTCCCCCGACCCGGAGTTGGCAAGCCACCCTTTTCCGGTTGAGAACCATGGTCTCAGATTTGGAGGTGCTGATCCTCATCCCAGCCGCTTCACACTCGGCCGCAAACCTACCCAGCAAGAGCTGAAGGTCAGAGCTGGATGAAGCTAGGAGGACCACATCATCCGCAAAAAGCAGAGACGAGATTCTCCTGACACCAAACTCGACACACTCCACACCACGGCTGCGCCTAGAAATTATGTCCATAAAGGTAATGAACAGAACCGGTGACAAAGGGCAGCCCTGGCGGAGTCCAACCCTCACCGGGAACAGGTCCGGCTATGCG